TTTATTGTCGGTTCGCGTCGAGCCTCGTCGACTCGCGTCGGTCAGCGTCGACCCGCAGGAGCCAGCAGGAATTGGAGGCTCTCGTAGGCTGCCACCGATCTGTGCGATAAGGTGGTTGTACTGCATAACTGAATCCGTCGCACGCTTCCAAGGATCGGGCCGGGCGAAAGGGGGGGATTGGGAAAGGGGGGGTTACGAAATCTGCTGCATGCAGCTGGTTTCGGCCCCACCGAGGGGCCCCTTCCTCGATACATGGGCGCCTCCCGGCGCCGGGAGGCGCCGGGAAAATCAGCTACGCGAGCTGATTCTCAAACCCCCCCTTTGCTATCCCCCCCTTTCGCCCGACCCGAAAGGAGGACCCGAATTACTACGACAGGGGATTTTTGGTTCTGGCCCTCCATTCTTCGGAACGACACGCTATCCACTTCCTAGTGCCCCAGCGTCAACATCCCGAGTCTTTCCCAGCGTCCCGCCCCGCGGGGCGGAGCGACACGCTATCCGCCTGCGCGGCATAGCGTGTTGCCAGGGCAGCCGTCGCGACACGCTAAGCGAAGGTTTTCCCCCCTAAGCTGATTGTGATATGTGATTTTGTCGGGCGCGCGCCTCCAAGGAGGACACATAGTACTAGCTTGTCCTTCTGCGTCCCACCCGACGGCATGCTTTTACACGCTCTTCGGAAACCGGGGCCCGCGTTTGGGCCCCGTGTTTAGAGCCGAAGAACCGGTCCTGCAGGGGGGCGAACCGAGAGGTTTTTGGCAGGTATTTTGCGGTCCACGCCGTGAGCACAATGCGGTGTGTCGGGGGTGTGGGAGGGGGAGAGGGGCAGCGAGAGAGGGCATGTTGTTGATGATGATGAGGGTGAGGAGGAGAAGGAGAAGGAGGAGGATTACGACGACGATGATGACGACGATGATGACGATGATGGTGGTAATGATGATGTTGATGTTGATGATACTGATGCTGATGATGTTGATGATGATGCGGGTATTGATGATGACGGTGATGATGCTGACGGTGATGCTGATGATGTTGATGTTGGTGTTGGTGCTGGTGAAGATGATGATGCTGATGATGCTGCTGATGATGTTGATGATGGTGGAAGTGGTGATGATGATGGTGACGATGATGATGACGATGAAGCTGATGATGATGATGATGATGATGATGCTGATGATGCTGATGACGATGACGACGATGCTGACGATGATGATGATGATGATGATGATGATGATGATGATGATGATGATGATGATGATGATGATGATGATGATGATGATGATGATGATGATGATGATGATGCTGATGATGATGATGACAAGTTTGAGGAGGAGGAGGAGGAAGATGATGATGAGGAGGAGGAGGAGGAGGTGAGGAGGAGGTGGAGGAGGAGGAGGTGGAGGAGTAGGAGGAGCAGCAGGAGGATCGCGACGATGATGATGGTAGCCTCTGGAGGTCTTTAGTTTTTGGTCCCCCCACCCTCGTTTCTCTCGGTGCAGAACAAACTCGCACTCCTGCTCCTCCTCCGCCTGCTTCTTCTCCTTCTCCTCCACTTCCACATCCTTGTTGTCGTCGTCGTCGTCGTCGTCGTCGCGGCGGAGATTATGTTTCCTCTATTGGTGGGCGGGCTGGATAATGTTGGGGGTTTCTCCCCCCGGGGCATAATATATTCTGGGCCACCCTGCACGCGAGAGGATTTGTGATCATCTTTTCAGGAGGATAGCAATGGGAATCAGTGGTTGCAGTTGTAGTCGTGATTGTGGTCGTGGTTGTAGTTGTGATTGGAATCGTGATTATAGTCGTAAGCGTCGTCGTGGCTGCAGTTGCAGTGGTAGTCGTAATCTTAGTCCTAGGTGTAAGCGTCGTCGTCGTCGCGGCGGAGATTATTTCTCCTCTTTGCCGGGCTGGATAATGTTTGATGGTTCTTTCTCCCAGGGAAGAGTACTCTCCGGGCTACCCTGCACGACAGTGGAATTTCTAGCACGTTTGTCACGGGATGGCGATATAGATCGACACATTCTTCGCCGAAGGCGTTGCTCACAATCTCCTCGTTCATGTCGTAGTCGTCGTCGTCGTCGTTCATGGCGAGTGCCTCGGGTAAATATCTATTGTCCATTATTGGTGGGGCCCCAGTCCGTCAATCAGGGCGTCGAGCAGATAACTCGTTTCCACTATTGGGGGGTGGGTGGGTTCCAAAGGCCTTCTGAGATTAAACGATATTGTTCATGATGATTTTGGTGATATGATGATGACGATGCTGCTGATGATGATGATGATGATGCTGATGATGCTGATGATGACGACGACGACAATGATGAGCTCGATGATGCTGATGATGGTGCTGGTGATGATGATATTGATGATGATGATGATGCTGATGTGATGGTGGTGGTTGTGGTTGTGGAGTGGTGGTGGTGGTGATGATGATGGTGATGCTATTGCTGCTGCTCCTGATGTTTATGTTGATAATGATGGTGATTGTGATGGTGAAGATGGCGATGATGATGATGATGATGATGATGATGATGATGATGATGATGATGATGATGATGATGATGATGATGATGATGATGATGATGATGATGATAATGACGATGATGATGATGATGATGATGATGATGATGATGATGATGATGATGATGACGCTCACGACGACGACTACGACTACGATTCTGATGATGACGTTGATGATGCTGGTGATGCTCATGATGATGCTGCTGATGATGATGATGATGACCACGATGATGATGGTACTGATGATGATGCTGCTGATGATGGTGATGATGATGATGATGATGATGATGATGATGATGATGATGATGATGCAGATGATGATGAGGGGCAGGGGGAGAGGGCATGGCATTGTTGAGCTCTCATATGTAACGGATAACGAATGTTGACCCCCTCCTCCAGTTCATCCTGTGTTTTTTTCAACTGAAGTGCCTCTCCCGAGGCTTGCGCCTTGTTTATTGAAAGGGGCAGGCTTGAGCCGCGGACTGTGCCCCTGGCTCCAGTTTGCAGCAACAGCGGTTCTCTCGTGATATGTCTGTGCATTTTATTCGAAATCGCGCTCTCGCGCGGGGCGTCTTCACAATTTATCCAGGCGCTCTTGCGTGGGACATCCTCCTATCCCAGTTGATTGAGACGCCGCGCCCTCGACACTCAGGAATCACGCTTTCGTTGTGGAATTCCTCACAGTTCATTTGGAAATCGCGCTGTCGCCCTGGACTTCCTCGCGGTCCATGCAGGACTGATGCTTCAGCGACCCGCCCGCTCGACTCGGCCGTGTCGGCCCGCCCGCCCGACCCGCCCCGTAAGGTCCGCCCGCCCGACGCGCCCATCTGGTTCTGCCGCTGGTTTTCCTGATCTCAGACATGCACGTGACACGATCTGCGAGCAGGTGAGGTCGTTCAGCCTTATGTAACACCAATATGGATGATGATGCTGATGATGCTCATGATGATGCGGATGATGGTCATGATGGTGGCGATGCTAACGATGATGGTGTTATTGGTGACCATGATGATGACGACGATGGTGATGATGATCATGCTCATGATGATGTTGATGGTGAGTATGATGAGTATGGTGATGCTGATGATAATGACAATGACGACGTTCATGGAGATGATGATGATGATGATGGTGATGATGATGGTGATGCTGATGGTGATGATGATGGTGATGATGATGGTGATGAGGGCGAGGATGAGGGTGAGGCTGAAGAGGCGGATCAGGATCAGGATCAGGGGGATGATGGTGGTGGCGATCATGACGATGATGATGATGCTGATGATGTTGCTGATGATGCTGCTGCTGATGATGACGACCGTTATGATGGTGATGATGATAATGATGATGATGCTGAGGAGGAGGATGAGGATGATGATGCGGACGATGAATATGATGCTGCTGCTGGTGATGATGCTAATGACGATGATGATGATGCTGATGATGATGCTGGTAACGACGATGATGCTGATGGTGGTGATAATGATGCTGACGATGATGCTGACGATGACGATGCTGCTAATGATGCTGATGATGGTGATGGTGATGAGGATGATGACGATGCTGATGATATTCATGCTGATGACGATGATGATGCTGCTGATGATGATTCTGATGATGCTGATGCTGATGCTGATGATGATGATGACACTGAGGATGCTAATGATGATAACGATGATATCGATTATGATGATGAGGATGACGATGATGCTGATTATGATGATGAGGATGAGGATGAGGAGAAGAAGAAATCGGCCTCCTCGTCTTCCTCGTCCTCCTCCCTCTTCCTCCACACCGCTCCCCTTCCTCCTCCTCCTCCTCCTCCTGCTCCTCCTCCTCTCCATTCTTCCTCTTCCTCCTCTCCATACTCCTCCTCCTCCTCCGCATCGTCTCTCGTCCACTTGTCCTCTTGTGGGTGAAGCACGAGAGGGAATAGCGGTGGCGACCGGATGCAGTCTGCTGTGCAATGCGAATCGGAGGATGGAGTGAAGCAGAGGGCAAACCCATCCGCTTTTTTGTTTTTTTGCTTTTCGTTGAGGCCCTTCGGAGAGCCAATGGCCCACGTGCTAGCTACTCTACACTTTTGTTTTCTTTTGCTTTTTGTTTTTTGATTATTTTTCGTGTTTTTTTTTTCGCTTTTTTGTTTTTTCTGCTTTTTTCTGTTTTTTTCTTTTTTTTTTTTCTTTTTGTTTGTTTTTTTTTTGCGTTTTGTGTTTTGTGTTTTCTTTTTTTTTGGTTTTTTTTTGTTTTTTTATTTTTTTTGTTTTTTTTTTTTTGTTTTTTTTTTTTTTTTTTTTTTTTGTTTTTGGTTTTGTTTTTCTTTTTTTCTGGTTTCTTGTCTTTGTTTTTCTTTTTGTGCCCTTTTTTTTATTATGTTATTTTTTCGCTTTTTTGTTTATTTTCTTTTTTTTTTTTTTTTTTCTTCTTTTGTTTATTTTTTTTTTTTTTTTTTTTTTTTTTTTCTTATTTTGTGCTATGTTTTTTGCTGCCAGAGCTTGAGCCTCAAGCCGACGCAGATCAGGCCGCAGAAGCCATGAGAGTGAGTGATAGGCTGTGTGGCAGCTCGGCCAGGGTTTAACTCGCCTTGCCGAAGCACAGACCTTCGAGCAGCTCACTGAACACCGCCAGGCCTGGCATTACGTCAAGGCAGCCAGCCGCTCATGCTGCCATGCCCCGCCTCCGCCCCCCCCCCCCCTGCGAGAAGGAGAACTAACGCGGCGACTAACACCAGGGGTCCGAAGCCAGACTGTGATGACCTCTGGCTGGGGACTGATGTTGGAGACGCCGAAGTGATCTTTCTCTCTTGTGGAGCAGTTGCGTTCCCCCCCACGGAATCGTTTCGTCTGCGTGTGGTGATTATTTGCAGCCACGTTTCTCCTGTTTCTCCTGCTGCTCAAGCAACAGAAGTTTATATGTGGTGATCATTCGTGTCCGCGTCTCTCCATTCTTCCTGCTTTAGCAGGCCAAAACGAAATAAGCGCGCGGGCCTGAGCTTGGCCACGCGTGCCCGACTCGAGAGAGGACTCGCCCGAGCAGAAGAACCCCTCCCTGCCCCACCGCGCTGCCGACGCCGCGCGGCACCGTGCGAGCCGCTGGCGCCAGCTGAGAATTCACAGTCGGGCCGCTGAAGAAGGAAGCCTTTTCGTCGGGGAGGGGCTCTGCGTCGAGGATGTCTGGGAATCCGGCCGCGTGTGCCTCCCAGCTTCCCAGCAGCTGCTCCCCGACCTCCTGGTGGGCACTCTGCGCCTTTGCACACGCAGAGCGGCCAGCGCCGCCGGCCAGTTTTTGCCGGGCGGACCGCGTCTCAGACTCGGGCCGAGGGTGCCGTGGGAGCGAGGAGGGGGATTCAGGACACAGAGTGCACATAGACTTGCGGAGGTCCGCGCAGGTTTCTGGGATCGGCGTTGGAGCCCCCTGGCGGCACCTCTGGTGCTGCCGCGCCGATCCACGAATTCCGCGCGGACTTCCGAAAGTTGCTGCTTATGAGATTCCTTGCTGCTCTCAGAGCGTCCCGTTGCGCTCCGGAACGGCCGCGGCGCCTGGCACATTCTCCAGGCTCGCCGGCTCTCAGAGGTGCCCGGCTTGTCCCCTTGAGATGTTGCCAGTCGAGGGGGGAGGATTCGCGTCCGCTGACGTCGACAGAGAAGGCCACGAGGCGTCAAGCAAGGGTCTCAAGTGGAGCTCTCGGCCCGTGCATCGGGACGGGAGGTCGGAGTTCGATCGAGCCAGGCTCTTCGTTATTCTTACAAAAACGGTGGGGGTTGTTGAACTTACGCTTTCCATTTTTCGCCCTTGACTCTACCGAAACGTTTTGAACGGGAAGAGCGCTTTCTGACACTGCTGGCAGGGGGGGAGGTTCAACCTCCCCCTCCCAGGAGGCCCGCCTCCCCCAAATCGAGGGGGGAGGGGGAGGTCCAGAACCTCCCCAGACAAGCAATGTGGGGGCCCAGAAGCACCCCACCCCCTGGGCCGCCGCCGCCGGCAGGACGACGACGCCGCAGACGCCGCAGACGTCGACGACGACGACAACGACGGCGACGGCGACGGCATCGCCGCCGGCAAACGACAACGAGGACGGACGACGGTGGCGATGCCAGCGAGGACGCCCATGATGATGCTGATGGTGCTGCTGAAGATGATGATTATGATGATGATAGTGATGCTGCTGCTGCTGATGATGATGATGATAATAACGATGCTGCTTATAATGATGATGATGATGATGATGCTGCTGCTGATGATGATGATGATGATGATGATGATGATGATGATGATGATAACGATGATGATGCTGATGATGATGATAGTGGTGGTGGTGGTAATGGTGGTGGTGATGGTGATGGTGATGGTGATGATGGTGATGGTGATGATGATGATGAGGTTGATGATGATGATGATGCTGATGTTGAGGATGATGATGATGATGATGACAACGGTTTTGATGATCATGATCTTAGTGACTTAGTGTGCTTTATAAACGCATGTGGCGTTTCTTTATAGTTTCCAGCTCGTGCGTCTTGTGAGTCAACAGCGGGGACCTGAACACGATATGATCAACGGAACCCGGAAATCACACGTAAACGTGTCCGCACGATCATGTGGACAGCATTTGCAAACGAATCGGCGCAAGCTGGAAACGGTAAGGAAACGCTCCCTGGAAAGTATACATACGTTGGCTGGTGAACGTTAGGCACAACACGAGAGTGCCGATGATATTGAATACGGGGCGGCGCAGCGGGCATTAGCAGCAGCAGGCAGTAGCAGCAGGCAGTAGCAGCAGGCTGTAGCAGCAGGTAGTAGCAGCACCAGGCAGCACATCAGAAAGTTGACGGCTGCAGCCGGGTAGGAGGTGCAACAGAGAAGCCTTTTGGAGAGGCTGCAAAGCTCTTATCTTGCGTTACTTGCCAGTCGCTGAACGTATTGTAAGCGTACTGGAGACGGTTTCAAACAGCAACCTCGACCCTAGGCCCAGGAAGTGCGGAAACATTGAGGATGTCACCGCCGCCGCTGAGGCCGCCGTTACGACGCCGACGCCGCCATTCCAGTGGGGGCCCATGACAAGAAGCACCCTATGTTTAGGGTTACCTGGGTTTCTTTGGCTGGCGTTCGGCGCCGAAGGTCGCGACGACCTCGAAGAAATTGCAAATGCAAGGGCACCCTGGGTTTCTTGGGCATCGGTCAGTTTCGTGGCGCGTGCCAGAACCTCCTAGAAACTTGCGGGCATTCAGGGTACCTTGGGTTGCTTCGCCCGCCACTCGGGTTGTTCGCCCCGCGTTGCCCATCCACTCGCGGGGTTTCGCCAGTCTGTCAAGTGGGCGCTGGCGCATTTCGGGGCGCATGCCCGAAGCCCCAAGAAACGGACAAGCAGTCAGGATACCTTTGGTTCCTTCGCCCGCCATTGTGTTTGTTCTTCCCGCGCAGCGCGCGTGCTTGCGGGGCTGTTGCCCGAGAGCCTAAGAAACTGACATGCATTCAGGGCACCTTGGGTTTCTTCGCCCTCCACCTCGTATTTCGTCACGCGCAGAGCGCGCGCTCGCGGAGGTTTTTCAGTCTGTCAAGTGGGCGCTGGCGCATTTCGGGGCGCATGCCCGAAGCCCCAAGAAACGGACAAGCAGTCAGGATACTTTTGGTTCTTTCGCCCGCCATTGTTTGTTCCTCGCCCGTTGAAGGTGCCATGGGTGTCTCCGCCCGCTTGGCCTGAGTCAAATGGGCAAAAAGTTAGCTCCCAGAGGAGAAGTCGTCGCCTTTTCGATCGCGTGTGATTTCTTGATGTCAGATTGCTTGACGTCAGCAGTCAAGAAACCGCTCGGGCCAGGGTGCCCTGGGTTTCTTCGTTTGCAGCCGAAGTGCAAGAAACCCAGCCCTGGACCAAGAAACCTCGGCGGATCTCAGGGTTAGGTTTCTTGCGGTGGGTTTCTTGTGGATCGCCCTCCCGCTGTAATTATGACACCGACGATGTATCCCGCTGTGACGCGCATTCCAGAGGGTCGGACCGCGACTGAAAGGCCACGCACGATAAGAGCTCGACGCTCTCTCCAGAAAGGCTTCCCTGGTGCACCTGCTGCCCGCTGAAGCCGCCAACTCCGAAGACCTGGCAACGTCAAACAAACGGCAACTGGAAACGATTGGATGACAAGTTTTTGAATGACAGTGGGGAACTACAAAGAAACGCTTTGAGCGTCTCCAAGACACACTGACGACGACGATGAAGATGACGATGAATATGACGATGGCGATGACAAGAACGATGATGACACTGATGATGATGGTGATGGTGATAGTGATGGTGATGGTGATGATGATGATGATGATGATGATGATGATGATGATGATGATGATGATGATGATGATGATGATGATGATGATGATGATGATGATGATCATGAGGATGATGATGATGATGATGATGATGATGATGATGATGATGATGATGATGATTCTGATGATGATGATGATGATGATGATGATGATGATGATGGTGGGGATGCTGCTGATGACCATGATGATAGATCGTGGTGACGTATGTTCGATGCACACTGCACGTGATGATGATAATGATATCGTAATTTGGCACTGCACGTGGGCCGAAGTCGCGCTGCACAATGGCCTTGTCCTCCCAGCGCTCCGTTCAGGCTCTCGAAATCGCGTCGCAGTCCAAACGATTCTGCGTGACCACGCGGACGTCCTGCTCCGCTCCTCGCTGAAACCCACAGTTTGCAGCAGGAATATACCAAGTACGGTAGGTTCGCGTTTTTGATTGAACGATTTTCTGGTGTCAGAAACTAACGCCGCAGTCGGCACGACACAAACTGGCCCAATCAGTTTCAGGACTCTGGATGATTGACCGAAGGTAGTCGAGCCGACCGCCGGTGTCTCTCCATGACATTGGTGCATTCTGCAGTCTCGTCGACCTCGTCGTCCTTCACTGTCTGCTTTTGACTTGGGCGTTGAACCAGTCTTCGATGCCGTCTCTGCCTTTTCTTCGGTGTCGCCGTCATCTGGGAAGTTTTTTCTTTTGGTTCGAGGTCCGAGTTTTCCACACCGCTGGCAGGACCACCTGTCCATAGATCCGCCATTGTTGGACTCTCCTGTATGGTCGAAGTAGCCTTCGCACTCCCCGTGTTGCCTGCCATCGTCCTGGCCACTCATCCTCCAGGATCCGCTCCTGTGCCTGGGCCACATTGCTATACACGTCTTGCTCTATGATGAGTAGGGCTCGAACCCTTCTCGGTCTTGCAGAGCTTGAAAGAAGTCCGTGTAGTGGTGCTTGGTCTTGTGAGCCACATCAGGGATCGGTAGCTTTCCGAGTGCTTTGTCGCGCATGCCTTTAACAACAGGAGATGGCCTTTCTCCATCTCGTATCGGTCGGGCCTTAGAGGGTTAGCGAATGCCCAAATGTTGCCACCGTTCTATGATGCACTTCGCTGCTAGATTTATCTCGGTTTCCCGAAACGCGCGGGACACCACATCACGCCCGTCTCGGGATATCTCCGTTTACTCGGAGTGCCGCCCAACTCTGAGATGGCGTCCTTGGGCTTGTGTGACTCGTCACGCTGCATGCTGTCCGTGGAGCAGATATGAGCTACCAGCGTCGAGAATGACAATCTCTTGATATTGGTGTCCACGCGTCTGGTCTGAGGGAGGCAAGGGGTGGTCTCAGGTTGTCTGTCCGTGAGGATCATCGGGCGTCTGTCCGTGCAGGGCTTAATCTGACCTTCGTCATTACGCTTCGCGCATTGATGGGCCGTCCTCCTTGAGCTAGAGTGGGCCACTGGCAAAGACAGAGCAGGTTGCGGTAGTCTCAACTCCCTTCCTATTGGGTGATTAAAAGATGATGTTGCTGTTGCTGTTGCCCGGGAATTAAACGACGCGCAAAGAAGAGCAACGCTAGTAATGCTGGTGATAATACCAATGACACTGCTACGAATACGCATCAATACATAAGGATGATTTGCTGGGCTAGGCGCGCGGCCCCATGCAGCTACATTCGGCGCAGGGCTTGGCCGTCTCCATTCTCCGAATAGCGCGGGAAGACAGATTCCTGCACTTTGTGAATTGGAGGTCGCGGCGCGCGCGCGAAGAGTTGCGCAAAGTGCCCCGTGCGTGGGCCGCGCTCCCCGCGAGGGGTGTGCCGAATTGCTTCCGGGACTGCGCGCTGGGACTTCCGTTGGGGCCGCAGGCAACGTGGGTGCGCGCGGGGCATGCCGACGTGCTGACGCGCCCAGTGAAACCTCGTGTGGGGCTCCCAAAGGCGGCGCGGAAAACGTCAGGAACGCACCGAAGTGGGCGTGGGCTGCCATGCGTGGGCGCCCATGGAACTCGCGCGTGGGGCCCCCTGAAGAG